GAAATAAACACTTTTCAGTAGTAGTTTTACATGCACTTTTTAGAGCGTAATAATTTGAACAGGAATTTCACGGATCACTTTTGTTTGTTGGGTTTGCTCTCATCCCTAATTCCAAGTTCAATATGTAGTATGCAAAGGGGTTTCATAATCTTCCCTAGTCCTTTTACAGCTGACAAGGTGCCGCTGGGATCAAAATGTTCATTAAACCCTGGCTAAACTTTTGAAAAGCTAGAACCTGCGAGCCTTGTGTTTATCTTTCGAAGACTGGGCGCTTCACATTGGCAGGACCCCATATAAGCTGTTGAAAAAGGTAGAAATTGAGATCCGATTTCACTGAAATTTTCCATGTTGTACCTTTGCTTGTGAATGAAGAAGCATAAAAAGTGGCATAGATTGGCGAATTTCCTTGCCCACTATACTAAAGTGAAGGTATTGTATGTAGATTCCATCCGATTCTAATTAAATTTGGCTTTTGTATGACTGGTGGCCGTGTCAGGGGGCCGATTTAGACAATATTTCCGATTTTAGTTTTTCTGAGATACATACGCACAAACCGAATTTCATTAGAATCGCATAACGTTTATCACCTCCGCCCCTAGAGTAGTGGGCGTGGCAGTTTGAAACTTTTAATTTTTTTTCATTACTAAGCTAAAATACCACAGCTAACAAATTACAGTAAAATCGGAGTACAATTGATACTTTTTGCCAAATTTTACATCGGGCTCTTCCACTGTGCAGCGGCCACTGACTGAGTGAGTGGATAAACATTTAGTGCAAAGTGAAGGTGTCGGCCCGACCACTCCACCATCTCTGTCAGTGTGTTGCTCTTTGATGCCTCGTGCCTGCTGCCTGCTGACGGCTGCATTTGTTTGATTGCACAACGGTTGCAATTCATGTTGATGTTGCTGTGGCGACTTTCAATACTAGTCGGTATATCCTATAGCCTGCTCGGTGGTGAGGATAAGCGCCATGCTTGAAAAGTGGTTGGCACGCCGCCAGCTGGCTGCTTGGCTGGATGACGGACTGTTAGACTGCTAGACTGCTAGACTGGTTGACTTTTACATGCACAAAAGCTTCGTTTATCAGCAGCGCTCACAAAAACCCACAACCAGTCAGCGCCGTGGGCTATTCATGTGTGCATTACTATTGTTGTTGGCTCCACTCCCACAGCGAAAACTTGCCAGCGCTCGTCTTGATTGCACTAAGCTCAGTTGCGCGTTGAATTTTCACCTCCTCTTCAGCTTGAGAACTCGCCACCACCTCACCTTCTCATCATCGCTCGCGCCTCACCTTGCCTGCCTGCCTGCCTGCCCGCCTGCCAGCTATCGTTCGTCACTTTGTATTGTTTTTTGTTGTGCGCCACAGCGATTTTTATTTTTTTTTTTTTTGTTGCAGCAACAATTGTTGCACGCCAACGCTGTGGCTGAGCGCGCTTACTTTAGTTGTTTTTGCTATTGCTGTTACTGTTTCAGGTGAAGTGATTTGCTTTTGTTGTTGAGCACCTACTTTTCTGCCACTTGGCAAGCTTTTAGGCCATTTTAAGCGCCGTTTTTCCTTTTTACTAAGGGCGGCGTTTTATTTTCTGCACTGCTTAGCATTTTCCACCTTCCATTGTGCTGAGTGCAGTGTTTTTGTTGCACTTTTTTAAATTAGCTGTTCTTGTAAGGGCTTCCTTCTTGTCGTAGCGCTGATTTTCATATTAATTCTGATTTTTTGTAAAATTTATCGCCTTAGTTGTTGGTGCTTGTGTTTTCTAGCCTCTGTTTATCTCTTTTCGCTCACCTCATTCGCAAATAGTGCTCTTAGATAGTATCTTTCTATACAAACTTTTCTGTCCAGCACCACCTCTATTTTCTGTTTGAGTTGACCTTTCTCCTCCACCAACCGATCATTATTCTTTGCGCCTGCAACAGACAGCTACCTCACCGACGCCTATGCTGGCATTTCCGCTGCCGAAATGGGTTTGTTTCACTCATTTGGCGCAGCTGAAAGATTAATTGCCATTTTAATGGCTTTTTAGCTACTTTTATCTCTGTTGAATTAGAATTTGGCAATGCTTTTTATGTCGATGCATAGATGGACTGATGGATGATGTAAATGACACTAAACTCTTTCAGTTTGCGCAATAATCACTGAATACTTCCTCACAAAACTTGGGTCGTAATTGTTGTCCTAAAAGGATGGTCTTCGGAACGAGAGTTACGCCACGCCTTTTTCTATTAACTTCATTTCCCATATGGCCTATTAGCTCATCGATGCGAGGATTGACAATCGAAAGATTTAACAGAAAGATGTACTTGCACAAAGGAAAGCTAACTCGAACTCAAGAGTTAACTATTCTAAGGCCGCGGGAGTGTAGCAGGCTGTAATAAATTACGAAACGAAGATAAACTTGGATATCGCAGACGGCAGACGCGAGTCATGGGTAAATAAAACTTGAAAGTATACGACAGCAACTTCACTTGTAGTTGGTTAGCCCAATAGCACTCAGTCTCTCAAGAATAAATCATAAGAATGCACCTACATATATTTAGGACTAAACGAATGGTGGCGATTCGTGGCACCTTTTCACTATTTCTCCTGATAGACCTAAGCCAATTCTTCATATACGCTTCCCAATCGAGAAATCCTATTAAAGCCACTGGTGCTGAATTCACAATACGATGCACGCATCCTTGGTTTAAGACACGTAGAGTCAGCAGATGATGATGACACCGGACACACACGATTACCAAAACTACAACAACAACAATTGAGTAGACGTCAAACGATTTATGAGACACATTTAAGAAACGGATTTGCGTTGGAGAGAAAATTAGTTCGTTTTCAAAGCCTTCGTTTTTTACATCTCAAAATTTCGAAACGACTTAAAATAAGCTTATGAAGAATCGACAAAGTACAAAGCTTACATTCCATAGTCTACTGATTCCATGTCGACTTGTCACACAGGCAGTTGTCCCGCAGCTCGGTTCACAAACTAATAGCATTATTTTTTTTAAAGCTATTTAGGAATAAATGATTTTTTTAGACTTTACTTCTTTACTGATGGTACGTTTTGAACTGCCTGTTTCGTAAGAGTTAATCTTGAGAACGGTTCGACTGATTTTGCAAAATTTTCAAAATTAATGGTATTCACCTACGTCCAGGTCATAAGTTAAATTCTTTTTAAAAGCTTCTTAAAAAAGGTGCTCCTGGTCTTTCAAAATCCCAATTATTGACAAAAGATAGGGAATTTTATTAGAAAAAGAGAGCATTGGAAGTTTTATTTTCAAAATATTTTTGAATTAGAGGTTGCCATATATATATGAAAAGTTAATTATATGTGTACAAATATCTATATCTATCTATATTTTGCAATGAGATAAAGCTGAATTAAAGAATTTTTTACGAAAAATTGGAGTGGAGTTGCCACCTACAAAAAAAAAAAAAACTAAAGCAAAGCAAATATATATTTTTTTATTAACAATTATATTATGTGTATGAAATGAAGTGTTTACACAAAAAAAAAATTTATTTGAACTTGCCAACTAACAACTGGCACACTTAAGCATTATTTCTGCCCAAAAATGATAATTTTACTAACCTTACTTACTTTACCTTTTGAATAATCAAACAATAAGTAAAACTAATGCGGCTGCCAGTTGGCACCGTTTTTGCTTACTATCATTAGTGTTGCCATATTTGCTATCACTCTATTCCCACTACTTGCTGCTCCTTTTTCCACTTTTTTGATTGGCTCTTTACTTCTATCCCAGACTTCTATTGGTTGCTTTTAATTTCACTTTTGCGGCAGACCAGGTGGCAGTTGATGTTTATTACCACAGCACTTGTTCGGTGCCCACTTCCATGTTGTTATTGTTGCTCTTGGCTGGAACGCAGTCAGGTATTGCTAATTGCCCCAACAGCGTCGACGATGCTGTCCTAGTTGCCGCAGCAGGCAATTAGTGTTACTTTCAACTGTCGGCAACTACAGTGGCGGGCAGCAAAACACACAAACACTCGCATTGCATTGTTTACCAGAATGTTCCCCGACTGAAGGGACAGTCTCAAAAGCAAGTGTCCAGCCCCAACCTTTGTCGAATTGCAATTTTATGCCTTCATTTTTTTCGTTTTTTTTTTTGGTCCAAAACTGCTGCTCTGCTGCTTCTCTGGCTGGCTGCTTGTCGGTTTTCTTGACTCGTTTGCTTTCACTTTCCCCATTTGCTGTCAGCGCTGTTTAATGTTTTTGAAGTGGCAAAAGTAAACGGCATAATGACAAAGGATATGACAGTAATTTGTTGTAATTAAGAAAACTGTTAATTTTTACCATAAATTCGAGCTGTCAGGCAACTCAGACCAGCAGCACAACAAAGCCTTACAGCAGGCGAGGCGGGCGAATAGTTGGTGTCGAGAGCTATAAACTTAGCAGAGGCACGTGTACGACCACGAATACTATTTTCATATACATACATACTTAAATGCTGTATATGTATGTATATGTATGTGTGTGCGTTTGCTGTCATGCGTGTTGGCGCATGGGCGTTTAATTGCGGTTATATGTATGTAATGTAAATAAGATTAATTTTCGGCAAAGTTTATTAGAGACGCACCAACATGTGAGCACACATAAGCACAGGCACATACATGCATACATGCATATGTACCTCCATGCCTTACAGATTTATGCTAGTTGTTGTTGCCGCACACATGCCCATTAAGTAGTTTATGGTTTAATTACGAACGCCTAAAAGAGGGACTTAGCTGCAATTTGAACAGCCAGGCAGCCAGGCAGGCAGGCAGACGTAACCGTAAATTCGTATTTGCCAAGCAAAGCTTTGGTTGCGTATACGACCTGTTGTCTACCTTAAAATGCCAGCAAACACAAACAACTCCCTTGCCTGCTTTACAAATCTTTGAATTACTAATAAAATTTGTTTAACTAAATACTCCCACGCACACTTTGTCGCTTCTGTATCTAAATACTAATCTTTTCTCCACTCTCTTGTTTCTTTTCTTTGCAGCAACAAGTTGTCGAGCTATCGGGCTACGTAATTATTTTGGTGAAAAATGTTGAGGGCAAAATTAAGCTGTACGGCTCACCGCCCGATCGCGATAATCTGGAAGTGGGCGATGAGATACTCGAGGTCAACGGTCTGACCTTGGAGAATATCTCGTATGCGGAAATTATACGTCACATCTATGAGGTGAGTTGTGTTAATGATTTGATGGAAAGTTATTAATGATTTTGGTTTAATTTTTGCTAATCATTCCTCTTGCAGTGCATAAAATCCTGCACAATTTGCCTGCGTGTACGCAAAAAGAATGACACCAGATTGGGTGAGTGGAAAAAATACAAATGTACATATGTATGCGAATTAAAGTAGTTAGCGTATTTTGGGAATTTCTAAAGGCCATTTGTTTAAAGCTTTTTATTTACATTTCTTAACTGGTCAAAAATGTATGCACAATTTATATGTACAGCAGAGATGGGCGCGGGTTATCGGGACTCGCGGCACCTACGGTACTGATTTTAAAATAGCCGGAGTGTGCGCCATCGGGAAGGTATTTAAAAGCTGTGTCGGCAAGGCGGGGCCGAAATCCTTTCCCGACGCTCCCGATAAAACCAGCAACCCCCGCATATTCAAAAATAAAACTGCCTTAAAAATGTTTTTTTTTGAAATACGCACTTGTTTATATTTTATTGAGATCAAAACAAGCAGAAAAGCAAAAAATTATAATTAACGGAAGATGTCAGCTCTTTCACTATTTATTTTACTATTTGAAATTAATTTGAGATATATCTCAGTGATAGGTTTCGGGACCCACGGCGCCCGCGGTAGTATTCAGAATTCAAATTGCTGAAAAAGGATGTCTAATTTTTAATTCACCAAACGTTTGTATACAATTCTTAAATGGCAAAATGAAATGCCAAATTTTATGTCCCGTTTTTCAATGACCGAAAATTTCTATTAATTTTTTTATATCCAAAAATGTACATAAGTTAAACCTTAAAAGTTCGTATTCAATTTCTAGTTTTTGAATTGCTTAAAATTTATACTATATGTATGTATCTAGCGCTTGTAATGATGAAAATGTAAAGCCCAACTTTTATTTCCAGTTATAATTGATCAAAAATTAATATACAGTTTTTAAATTACCAAAAACTTATGTCCAATTTTTATGTCCAGTTTTTAAATTACCAAAAATGTATATATCTATCGTTTTCAAAGATACAAATTTAATATCCAAACTTTATGTTCAGTTTTCTTATTAAAGTTTGTGTACCGTTTTTAATTGATCAAAACTTTATATAGAGTTTTTAAATGGTAAAAAATTAATGTCCAATTTGAATGTAAAATTTTTTAATAACCAAAAAATTTACATATTAACCATATTCAAATGATCAAAAAAAACTCCAGCTTTTATATCCAGTTTTGGAATGGTTTAAACTTTGGGTCGATTTATTATTAATTAAAAATGTATGTACAGTTCTCAAATGGTCGTAAATGTATGTTCAATTTTTATGTCCGGTTTTCAAATTACTAAAAATTGATATGTCCGTTTCTAAATGATCAAAACTCAATGCCCAACTTTTATGTCCAGCTTTCGAAAGGCTAAACATTTACATCCAGCTCTTAATTAAAAAAATGTATGCAGTTTTTCTAAAGTCAAAATTTATACGCAGTTTATTAATGCCAAAAATATATGTGCTGTTCGGAAATGCAATATTTATGGCCCCTTTTTAAATTTAAATTAAATTTTACCTTGAAACTTTTCTGTAATTTACTCGCTAGCCTAAACGCAATGGGAGTCATAAAGAGATAGACCAATACATATAGCTGTTTATCTAAAAATGAGGTACATGTCACTAACACAGAAGCATACAATCCACCAAAAAAATTAGAGTAGCTAAAAAAGGAAAAAAAAACTTTAAAAACACTTTGTAGAGCAGCCAGAGCAGACCAACTTCCTTTTTTCAGGGGAGCTATCTAAAAGCCGCCCTAATTTAGGCCGAGAGGACATTCGGCTTTGCACTGAGACAAATTGAACAGACAACTTTTGTCCCTGCCATCCATCAGATTATAACTTAAAGCATCTTTCAGGCCCAATGTCAGCCCAGAAAGTCTGCCAGTTGTACTCTGTTGAGCAACCGTTGCCTAAAATTTACTAATCTTCTTTCATCTCATAAGCTGACGTTGAATGCAACAGTTTATTTTCTTTTTAATCCTTATTGCCATTAATGGCCACAATTAGCAATCGAGCGAAAAATTTTTGATCAAGTGGAATGCCACAACCACTTATGGCACTGGCCACTGGCACTACGTTTGCTTTGAGCAGCAATTTTTGACTTCTTTTTTTCTGAATTAAACGCTCAAACACCTGTGCTTTCGGTTGTGCACTATTGCGTATATTTGTATGTACTTATGTATGTATGTGTGTGAGTGACTCGTTTACCGGCAAAATGCCAGCAATTAGCAACGCCATCAATCGGCAATCAGTTAAGCAGCAGCCGCAACACCATTTTCCCCCCACCTCACCTCACCTCGCCTCAACCACGGCCTCAACCGAAACTGCAACTAATGCAAAGCTTGCATAATCCAAGCGATAGAATCACAAATTTCGCAATCGCAATTCACACAAAGCGCTTTAGTAGGCATTTAACTTTGTTCAGCTGCCGCAAATTCTAATAAATATTTATGTGTGTGTTTGTGCAGGTGTGCGCTTGTGTGCAGGTGCGCTTAGGCATTAGCGGCTTAGACAAGTTTGGCAAATGAATGCACATTTAGCGTTTACTCTCCTCGCGCAACTCCAGCCGCCTCCCGAGGGTGCTACGTTGCATTCACTTACCTGCCGCATCAAAGTCATTTTCGTAGCCATTCTCGCTTAGTACGCGCTTCCGCTTCCGTTTCCGTTTCCGTTCCCATTTGCCGCTGCACTGTATGCTCGCTGCTTTTGCGGTTTGCCTGCATTTCTGCTACCTGGTCATTGCATTTTGGCAACACATTTTTAAATAAGCCTCAGGCTATGCGCCGCGAGTGCATAATGAGTAGTGTGCAAAAAATAATAGCAACAAAAACAAAATAAGCGAGTAGGACGTGTAGATTATTTTCACGTGTGTGCATTTTGGCAGCGCCGGAAATCGTTTTGAGTGCTGAGAGGATAAGTAAGGAAAATAGTTCAGATTTTTTATTTTACCATTTTTGCAGGTGAGGTTTTGTTGAATAAAACACAAGTGGTTAACTATGCTGAAGAAAAAAAATTGAAAAAATATTCGGTTTTTTTAATTAAAATTCGTGTTTTCGCTCCCACTGTAAAAATAATTGCACTCGCATGGTAGAAAAAATTATGAATAGTGCAACAAATTTATCGCGAACCGCCTTTTTGGTCTTATAATACAAAAATTATTTTTTTTAAGTTAACAACTCTGTTAAAAAATCTTACTAGATTTACATGTCGTAAACTACTTTTATGCAGGTAATGCTTTATATGCAGGTAAATGTTTTTAACGATTTTAAGGATACATTTTTTTTGCGGCTAGAAGATGGCAACCCTACATAAAAAAATGTTTGGAAATAAGTTTTTGTGTGTTTTCCGTTTCGAAAGTTGTCTTAACTAAGTATTTGTATCATTTAATTTATTTAGTTTTTAAATTATTTAATAGTTGCCAACCTTTGTGGAAGAATAGCGTATGTTTAAGTTTCCTTAGTCTCATTTTGTTTGACACCATTCGCTTAGCTCTTATTCGTATGTCTTCTCCACTTCGCCGAGTCGAAAAAACCTCGTCTTGGTCACCTGGGAATGTATTTGATCTACATCCGGTTCAGATTAAGTCCAAATTAGAAAATAATCAGTCAAAAAAGCAAAGACTAAAACCAAGGCCTTCCTCCCTATGCCCATAATTGCAGGACTTCCTTCTTTCTCGTGTCATTAATGAGCTTCAAGGGCAGTTGATATTGATCTTAAATTACATATGCTGCTTAGAACCTGTCCCTATAGTAGAAACAGTTATTATATTATAAGATAGTTTGAATTTAGAGTTTCCAAATAGACATCGGACTGTGGTCCGCCCTAGCGTGAATTCTCGTTGTCTTTACAGTGGCCCTATGTTGTCGAGCGACTCCAACGCGACTACTATGTCGATGACTGCCCGTATCGAACAGGACAGCTCTTCTTACTATGATGAGTCCATCACAATATCCACAACAATGTTGGCTAAAGCAACTCGGCCTTTCGTTTGCGAAGGGTGATGGTTGGTCTCCGATGACGGTATTTATGGGGCAGCAGCTGATCAAGTTATTGATTGGCTGTCGTTGAGATGCCTTCTGACGTGCCTGGGAGGAGGCTCGGATCAAAAAATTATCCATTGCTAGCATCTCAACAGAACTGTTTATCACGCATGATGAATTGCGTCCCGCTGTAAATGATGATCAGCCGACATTTTGATTACGTGTCAATCCCAAGTACGTTGTTCTGAAAGGTCTGAAGCATCGTAAACTGCGTTGCACAGATGCAGCACAATTTAGAACTGGCCGGCCAATCGCCTTAGGTGTTCATTAGATCGAGTTCTTTCTTGGGTATGCGAAGGCAATTGCGCTGCTCGCCTTGAGGTCTGCCGGGGTCCTTTCAAGCTTTTTCTCTTCGCGAATGCTAATCGATCTTTCTTCCTCATTTTTATGAGGAGCGAGATCGATCTGATAACGGTTTGGCGATGATCTTTATGTCGGGTGTTTTTTGCGAACTTCTATCAATACGTTTCAATTGTCTGTTAGTTCGGCGAGCATTAACTAAATTCATCTGCCAAGCCATTGACTTGGTAGCACACTTGTTATGCCAAACTAGTGAAGTGGAGGCCTTTGAAGAATAAAAGAGAAAAAAGAACAGTTGCAAAGAGATTGATTATCGAAGAGAAGTTCGGCGGAAGTGGCAGAAGAGAGTTAGAATAAACTGAAATGAACAATGAGAATGAGTTTAGAACGATAAGTTGAAAACAGTCAAAATTCGAAACTTTGCTTTGTGGAGTTTTCGATTATGTAGACTACAAAACGAGAGTACGTGAGAAGCGAATGAAAAACTGTTGCCAGCAAAAAGCTTTCCAGCGCATTAGCCAGCGTATAACGAGATATTTTATTGAAACCGTTTAAACCCAGAATGGAGAGTTAAAACTTTATATTAGAGAGCACGAAGCAAGGCTTCACTTCATCTCTGAGCCAACTCCCGATGAGCTGCTGAGCGCGTAAAGAGAAGTGAAAAGCTTTGCTAACTGGTGTTCGATCACACAACGTCGCAGCAGAAACAAGCAACCCTACGTTTCGTTACTCCTCACCATCTCTACAGCG